GTCGGCTGTGTCAATCAAGCGCGGCTGGCCCACTCGCGGAGGGACGCCACAAGTGGCCGCCACCACAAGTGGCCTTTTGGCCTTGCCGGCGCCTCGTTTTGGAGCGACCGGGAGGTGAAACCATCGGGACGATACCGCGTGAAATGAGCGCGGGCGGTCGGAAGCCCACCTGACTCCCAAGAACTTGGGCTGCTCGCCGGGCGCCGACGTTTCCGTTTCCATCTTCAAGCTGTCGATGTGAGCGATGGAGATGACGGTGGCGGCCACGTACCACGGCAGGCCCATGAAGGAGCACACCACCATCAGCACGGCCACCCAGAACAGATCCAGGTGGTAGCCCGCCCCTTTCTGGAGGACGGACCGCAAACATCAAACGCGGCTCCTCCTCCTCCTCGAGTTCAACTGACGGACGCGGCGCCTCGACGTCCCGGCGGGATTTGCGGCGTGACCATCGGTTTCACGCCGGGCCGTTAATTTGGGGGCGAACGGCTATCCCGAATGCCGTCGCGGCTGCGCCCCAATCGCATTTGAGGCGCTTCCTTCACAATGACAAAGACGTTGGAGTTGGGGCCCGGGAGAACGCCGGCGACGGGGCCGCTCACCTTCAGCTTGTGCTCCTTCCTGTTGACGATGACGGCCGTGATCTGCTGGTCCATAAAGATCAAGATGGTGACCAGCAGGGCGGGCAGCGCCGACGCCAGGTACACCCACCACGGGTTGCCCCCGAACGGCGGCACGAACCAGCCTCGCAGGGGACTGGTGGGCTACGGGCGAAGGGAAAAAGCCTCTGGGTGAGCGTTTGAGCGGGTCCGCGTCACCGCCGAGCCCAAAGCCAAAAGCTCCGTACGCGGCCGGGAGAGACTCGCCCACAACGAAAGCGGGTGCGCGAAGCTGACAAACGTTATGGGCCATTCATTCCACTCCATCCACCCGCGATCCGAAAGCGCGTCTCATCACGAGGGCCGTCTTCGGGCGGCAGGCGGGGGACGCCCTCGACCGGGCGCCGTCGCGGGGCATGCGGAGACCGACAACCGCTCGCGCCGAGGGACAATTTTGAGCGTTCAATCCATCTGCCGCGCGTGTTGTTGGAATGCGGGAGGAAACGGGAGGACCCGGAGAAAAGCCACATGTGGAAGGTCGCCCGCCCGCCGCGGTGCACTGCAATGGTTCCACGTTGTTCCATTGGCATCACGCGACACCATGTCACTGCGCGGTGTCCGCCGCGGCATCCGCCAGCGAAGCCGCGTCACGCTACGTCAGGCGATCTCGCGGCACCCGGCACGTGCCCCGTTACGCGACGGTACCGCACGTGTCCTTTTTCCGTCTCCCGACGGCGCCGTGCGTCACCGAAGCGACCGCTTACCTCCGTACGGCAGCGCACGTTACGTTACGGGGCGCGACGTTGTCCTTACCGTACCGGATGCGGCGAGGCCCTCCCGAGGCCGGCGCTCACCTTGAATTCCGTGGGCACCATGAGTTTGGGCGTGTCCACGCCGACCAGCGCGTCCACGCCGCAGAAGATGAGGATGGTCAGGATGATGGCAAAGTCGCTGATGAGCTTCCTGACCTGCGCGGCCGCCCCAACGCACGGTCAAGACCCCGAATGGGCGTTTCGGCGAGACCCGGCGGCGGGCGGACTCACGGCGGTGGGGAAGAAGGGGCTGCTCTTGAACTTCTTCAGGGCCATGGAGCAGGCGTAGGTGCCGAAGAAGAGGATGACGGACATGAGCGCGATGTCGGGGACAAAGTGGCACGCCTTGCCCACCAACTCGCCGTTGTACTTCAAGCAGTCGGTCCGGCTCAGAGACGACCAGCTGGCGTTGGCGGGCTGGACACAGCGAGAAGGCCGGGGGGGCCCTGAGCGGTCGGCGCCCTCGCCACCGTGTTCCCGCCCTACCCGACGGCCCGCGCGCCTCCAAAGCGGGACTTCGCTCGTGCCGCCCGGAGGGAAAAACCTACCAGGTCCGTGTCGTTCCAGAACCAGACGGAGGCGCCTTCCAAAGGGTCGCCCGCAAACTCCGAGTTGTTTTCTGCGGGCGAGGGAGGAAGAAAAGCGAGGAAGAGACGCGCTGGGACGCCGAGCGCGGGCGGCCGGCTCACCGAGGACGGCGGGCGCCATGCAGAGGCAGTCGTACTCCGTGACGCGCTCCGCCCGGAAGTCCGAGTTGATGGGGTAGTGGTGGGCCAGCTTGATCATCTTCTTGAAGGCGTCGTAGATGAAGATGAAGCTGATCAGGGCCGAGAAGCCTTCCTCGGTGAAGCGCGTGAAGTACTTGACCAGGTAGCTGGCGTCGGTGGCCACCAGCAGCAGGCACAGGAACGCCGACCACAGGCCGATCCACAGCCGGAACTCCAGGTAGTTGAATTCGTTGTCCCTGGGTCGGGAGCGCCCCCAGAAGAAGAAGAAGAAGAAGCCGGCCGGCGCCATGTGAGAAACGCTGCCGTGCTAACGCTTGCGTCCGCCTGACGATGATCGCTCGCCGATGACACTGACTTGCTGAAATTGAAGAGGAGGCGCTCAAAGACCAGGACGGGACCCGTGCTGCTGAGGATGGTGAGCGGCTGGCCGGCCAGCAGGCAGAAGACGCCGCCCGCGATGGCGGTGCCCAGGAAGCTCTCCAAAACGCCCTGCAAAGCACACGCGCGCCGCGGCGGCGGCGGCGCCGGCCCGCTCCCACATCCGCTCCGGGTTACGATGGAGATTTGCCGCTCTGACCTGCATGTTTTCCGTGGCGTCGCCGAGCAGGCCGCCGAAGGTGATGGCGTTGGTGACGGTGCCCAGGTAGATGAACAAGATGGCGGACAGCGCCTGGATGTGGAAGGCGTCCGTCACGTCGCTCAGCAAGAAAGGCACCTTCCTCTTGATGTCCAGCACGAGGCCACCGCAAAACCTGCGCCGCGGGCAAATGTCCGTTCCGGCCTGGTTTTGTCACCCTTTTCAAAGTGCGCGGCGACGTCCCACCTTCCCGTTTTCTCCAGCTCCTCGCCCGGGGCGTGCCCGCCTCCTCCGGGACCGCCGTCGTGGGGCGCGTCTCCGTTCATCTGAAAGTCTGCGCCCGCATACATGTTTTTCCTGCAAGACGCACACTTTGAGTCAAAGTCGGGAAGTAGCCATCTGCTCTGGGAGGGGGGAAACAACAAAAAAGCCGCGATCCCGTGTCAAGAATGCATTCGAACACGTCGGAAAAAAAGAAGCCACGTCAATCCTAACTACGAAGAGAGTGAAAAAACAGTTGCGCACTTGGAAAGAATACGACAAAAACGGCCGCAGAAAATCGTCTTTTGAGGAGAAATGACAAGAAACGACGTTGGTCACCAGAGCAAAGTGGCCTGTTTAAGGGGACCTTTTGTCCGAGGACGGCAGCGTTTTGGGAGGCTCGATGCGGATGGCGGGATCCCACTCGCCGGGAGGCAGCACGATCACCTCGTCCAAGAACTCGTCGATGCCGGCCAGCAGGTCCTGCCGGTCCTTGGCCTTGTACGCGATGTCGTGGAACACCTGCGCGGGAGGGACACCTTTCGTGACCGCTTGCGGTTCAGCAATGTTAGCGGTGGTCACGGCAAACAAAAACAAACCAAAAAGAGAAACTGAACAACCGAGCCCTCCGAGTGCCGCCGTCATCATCGCAGGACAACAGAAGCGCAGTTCGGCCAGCGTCCGTTCAAAAAGGCGCAACCCCCCCGCCCCCAAAAAAGTCATTTTCTATCATTGGAAGCCACCGGAACGTCATCGAGTTGCAACGTTAGCCCGCTGCTTCGAGCTAGGACACAAACAAAACGAGCGCGCGCCACTTGAAATGTATTCCACGCGAAGCTTAAGCAGACACTCTCCTCTCTGAACGGTGCAAAACGAACAAGACGCCAAAACACGGGAGACAACGCAACTGTCCTTGAGCTTTCACGTGCCACTGCAGGCCCAATGGATGAATCCTTTGTCAGTATTTCTTTCTTTGGATTTGTTTTTGTTCTTTTTCCACCTTGCGATGGATTGGCCCATTTGCCCCCGAATCCCACCTCGTCCGACATCAGGGTAGCGATGGCTCGTCCGATCTCGTGATACGACTTGGCTTTCCCTTTGGGCCCGAGCAGGACAAACAAAAATCTGCAAAAGTCAGACAAAACCACACCAAGAATGACACGTTGTGTTTGCGTGCAACTGCGCAAGCATCACAATCTTGAAAAAAAAATAAATAAAAAGCAAAGCATGTGGCTCGGTCTCCAATACACCGGCGTATCGGCGTGCGCCCGGGGGAGCCGAACGGCGGCTTGTTCATGTCCGTTGATGTCGGACGGACCTGGTGGGAACGGGAACTTCGGTCAAGGCGCCGAGCATGACGGCCTGCCGCAGGCGCACGAAGGCCACGAAGGGGGCGTCCAGGTAGTCCACCTCGCCCACCAGCACGTTGGAGGCCTCCGCGTCCCTGGGCAACTTCTTCATGAACTTGTTCCTCAGCTGCCAAACAAAGCAAAAAGACAGCTGCGAGCGCCGCTCGTCCGGGGACGACTTCCCGTCGCCCTCTCGGTAAAAGCGGCAAATAACGGGAAGCGGCGTCTTGCTCGGGTCAGCGTCTCGAAAACATTCGAGCCTCTCCAAACCGCCGTGGGCAATGGCCGTGGCCGTGGGCGTGTGTGTCCACGCTCAGAGATAATAACTTGGATTAAGTTTGTCCGGGAAGTGGCTGGCCACTTGTGAACTCGACAAGGATAAGCAGTAGAAAGTCCCCACCATTCTTGTTTTTTTTGACTGCAACTGCTCTTGAATTGCAGCTCAGGACAGATTCAGTTTGCGCAAATTACAGTTTGGAGCCCCTCCTCCCCCAATAAAACATTCATTCTATCTACTGCATATATTTTTTTCCTACAACTCCATCTTTCTTTTCTTTTTTTTGCAGCCCAGCCTCTGCGGGTATCCAACTCCTCCTGGAGCAACACGTGATGCGGCTATTGTTTGTAGGAAGAGTTTTCCATTGAGATATCCAGTCACACCATGGAAAGATACGGCATGGAGTTCTTATCTTACGCCAACGTCACAAACGACCCTTTACGACGGCCATTTGTCTCGGCGTGGGAGGAGCCATAAACGAAAGCAGTCACCCGCAAACTAATAAAGGCAGGGATCCACGTGAAAATTGCTCACTCGCTCTTATTTGTTTAGCATTTGCCCCGATGACCTTTCTAATAAATGAGTGTAATATTCAAACTGTTCAGTCCAAGGTCGGGAACCAGGTCGATTGCGCCACGACGAGAATATTAGGACAGAGACAATGTTATCAGCGTTGTTATGTCGCCAAATCATGCGAGCTTATCTTCAAAAGCTGCATCGGCTCGACCTCGAAAGTGACGAGTCACAAGGCAAAACGGCTAATCGGACGCAACGCATTTCTATACCGTTTATCCACTCGTTCAACCCTCCGCCGAGCCGAGGCCAAACGACGCCAATTTGTACCTGCGCTTCGTAGATATCGCACCGCCTGCACGTGTCTGCCTTTGACTCTTACTTGCACAAACGGTTAGCATGTTAGCAATTTAGCCACGGTCATCAGCATTTTGAATTCGATAACATTTTAAAAGCGGCACACGGACTGCGTGATGCGTGACGATCCGGCTTAGGCCGGGATGCGCACAAGCGGGCGTTTTTAAAAAGGGAGGTTTGCAATGTTGTGGGCGTGAACGCAGCCGCAGGAAACGACGCTCCGTGCGTGACTGGTGGCCGGTGCGACGACGCTTCAGGTAAGATCCTGAAATACAGAACGAGCCAGCAACTTCAATATGTCTGTGGACCTCGTCATCGCGGGGACGGTGCCACACCGAGGCTGAAACAAAATCTGCGTTGCTTCAGCGAGGCCCCTCCAGAATTGTATTTCAGCATTTAGCACATCTTCCCAAATGGTTTTCTCAGCTATCTGCCTTTGGCACCGGGAGTTGTGCCGGGATCCCAGGTTCGTCGCCCATTGTGTGCATTTTAGCAGTCCGCCCGCCGCAAACATCCGTTCGTGCTCACCTGGTCTTTCTCCGGCTTGTCAGAGATGTCGTTGAGGCTGCTGGAGGTCAGGTTCCGCTGGGCGGTGGTGGTGGGACTATCTGTTCAAAACACAGGTGGACCATGAGGAGTCGACCCGTCGCAACTTCCACCGAGGGCGATGAGGAGGAGGGAGGGGGATGGGGGAGGGACATGGGACCGAATATGACAAAAACGACCAAAAAAAAAAAAAAAACCCCAAAACACCACGGAAGAAGCGGCAAACCACCACCAAGACTTCATGCAGACCTGACTACTTACTCATAAGGACAGTTGTTGTGCTCTCGCGATGTCGGGGGAATGATTTTCATTCATCTCCAACACGGGAGATCCTACACAGCTATCGTCCAAGGTATTCTTTTGAAAAACATCCAACACCTTTCCAACATCTGGCAAAAATTCCAATTGGTTGGACAGTTCTTGTCCGATTGTCGGCTGATTTAGCGGTGAGCATTGGCATCGCTATTCGCCAGAGGTAAGGTGAAACGTATCCCGTTTGAGACGCCCAGTGTTGTCACATCCAATCCAACGGGTTAGCGCTCGAGCGGAGCGGGCTGATGATGGACAGTGTGCCGACTTGAAGCTTTTCAGCCGGCCTCCGCACACTGTCGTGACGCTCGGCGCCTGTGTCGCACCGCAGCATTGTGGCTAACGACCCATTTGTCGGTTCGACAGCCGGGGGGGGTTTCCTCACGGATGTTGATTGTTAAGATGCCAGGATGCACCATAAAAGGCTGATCGGAACAATCTAACTAGTCAGCAAGCTAGATGTTAAAATGTATCGCATGCTCAAATATTAGAAAAAACACTCATTGGACACAAAGTTGGGTACGCCAAATAAAATTCAAACCAAAAGATTTTGTCGACCTCCGCCAAGGCCAAATGACCTGAAACAGGTTGCTAACTAGCTAACTAACAGCCATTCGTTACCTCCATATGTAAGTGACTAACAGCTAACTGGATGACAAGCTAGTTATCGAACTGGGTATGAAACTAAACTAGCGACAACTACATACGCAAATTATTCAGATTGAGCTGAAGAGTAATTCACAAATACTGACTAGTAACTCACCAGCTAACTCGTAATACCAGTAAGCTAGATATCCGATGAAGGCTGTCAACTCAAAACCGCGCGCGTCTGAACAAAAAGGTATGAATGAAACAGCTAACGTGCTGCCGAGCTAACTCACAAACATTTCGCAAACTCTCCAAGCAAGCACCAAGTGGCACGTGGCTAACACCTACCAATCAGCAGCTCACGGACCGCCGAGCTCACTCGAATAAAAACGTAGCCTGACACTTTGACAGTCGGTGGAGGTCGCGTGAGTCTAGTTGAGTGTCCAATGGGTGCGAATCGGCACGGCGACCCTACTAAGCCCAGTCGTGCGCGCGCTGGAGGTCATGAAGACAACTTATGCGCCCTTGCGTTCAAAGCGGAGCTCTCGACGGGGTCCGCGCTCTCTGCGATCCGGCTTGTGTTTGTTGTGTGACTTACTGAGCCAATCCATGCTGGCGCTCCTCGGACTCTGCAAGTCCTCCGTTGAGATGCCGCTCGACAGGCACGTCACGGAGGTCTCCAGAGGACTACGGGCTTCATTTAGTATGCGCGTTTGTTTTAGTAGCAGGTTAGCGATCCGGTCCAACAGAGATGACGGACGGGAGGGAAGGGGAGGTGGGGGGGAGATCGGGAAAAGAGAAGCCACACACCCAGAAAGTGAAAAGTCAGCCCACCAAAAGTCAGACCCAAATCAAATCAATGACATGCTACGGTGGAACCTCCCAAGTCACTGTTAACACTGGGGGGGAATGGTGGGGCTTCTTTGTTTTTACGTCCGAGTGTTATTAAGAACAATTAACTAGCTAACTGATCAATATCCACAAGTTTAGAGCGAACAAATGAACCGAAATCGTCCGACGAACTAACTTCATAGGCTCGGCATTTTTTCCCCTTTGCAATAATCTGTGTTTTTATTCGTTTTTAGAAAGCACCAAATGCTACCAAACTAACAAATAGCTGAGTAAATCAACCAATCACTAGCCGTCAATCATCTCAGATGAATAAGTGACTAGCTCATAGCCACTAGCTCGTTAGCTACCCAAGTTTTGAACGAAACCAAAACAAATGAACAAACTAAACAACATATAACAACTAACCAACGACAAAATCAACAAATGGCCAGCTGGCCAACAACTACTGAGCTATCCGTTCACGAGAAAACCAAGCAGCAATCGAATGAGCTGCGACCAAATAGCCACCAGGCAACTCCAAAGTAGAGAACAACGCAAGCTAACAAACAACAAAAAGGCAACGAACGAACAAGGAACCAAAACAGACTACATGACTTATGAACTAACTCATTGCCATTATTTTGAATTGGAATACCATAGAAATCAATCAATGTATTCTTCTTTTAATTATCATCGTTATTATTGTAATGTATTCAGTTAGTATGAGCATTTCTTCCTTCTCCCTTTTGTCTATTGTCATCCCGCCCCCCGGCTGGAGGTGGCTGAGAGGTTCCACCGCACTCGACGCGCGTTTCGAACAAGTCTTTGGAAAGAAGCGAGGGGGCGACAACGGCGGCCAGAGGCCAGAGCCCGTCCCATCGCCGGGCGGCCACGGAGTCGTCAACGTGCAAATGATGGCGACCCAACGCGTGCGCGGCTCCTCCGCAGCTTTCCAAAGACTTGGCGACTGCGCACGGATTCAACGACACGGGTTATTGGGATCGGCGGCGTGCGGCGCTCGCGGGCGCGCTGTCACTTTTCACCTGGCCAACATCCGACCAAACGCTCCAAACGTGACGAGTTGGATTTTCACTCAAACGAGTCTCGAAGACAGATTGAGCGCGTTCCTTCGAGTGCGGAGCTTCACGCTCGGCATCTTTGGTGCGACAACACGAAGCGAGCTCAACGACTGTCTGCGAGACGCGGGGCGCTTGCATTTCTCCGCCCCGAAATCGACCGTTTTCCGAGGGTCGACGAGACGGGCGTCGGACACGGCGAGGGAAAAAAGCCACAGCTCATCCCGCCTACTCGACTACGATTGAGCCAAGCATGAAAAGCTACTCAGTACCAACAGTTGGAAAGACGCTCACGGTGGTACCCGGACTCGCAAGGGACCTGACTGACGGCCTGATCCAGATCTCACCCCCCCCCCACACACACACATTTTGGGGAAATGTAGTCGCGAGAGTTGGGGTTGGCTCGCTAGACGGCGGTAGAAGAATTCATTTTGTGAACTGAGTTAGTTAGTTAGTGAGTGAGTGAGCGGACCAGCAACCGACTGTTCAACTCAACCTAAAAGAGAGCAAATTCCGCATTTTTTGATGACATGAGCAGTGCCCGTCCAAAGTCTGCTGGCTTCACGCCACCGACGGACGGGCGGCCGTGTTGTGGTCATCCCAAAAGAAAAATATCAAGCCAAACTGTCGCAAGGCCTTCGGACCGCACGGGCAGCGACGCTTGAGATGTCATCATCGAACGGATGGGCAA